CATCTCATATATATCTTAGATTATATCCTACGCAATCTTCTTGAAAGGACAAACGATTCTGCTGTCCAATGGTAGCCTGTTTTTTCCACTGCTCTGTCGCTTTGCTTCCCCTTTCAACTCGTTCCTTTTCCCATGCGTGTTTTATAAAGCAATTAATTACTTGAGCGTTTGAATATAATTCTTCTTGTTTCTTTTTCCTTTTTTAATCCCTGGTCACCACATAACGCAAACATGCCTTTCACCTATTTCATATAAGCTTGTGCAGTACGTTTGCCTTTCCAGACACATTATTCTGTGATTTCAGATTTCTTTCCACAATTTCTCATCTGATATCGTCCTTGTTTACTTCCGGGTGGTTAATCTATGTTATTTCTCACTTGCACTTCGTCACATTTTCGGCTTACAGCTACATCCATTCCCAGCTCTGTACTCCGGGCTTTTTAATCATCCACGATCACTTTACGTGGTTCTTCATTTTTTTAACCACATGGATGTTCTTTTCAACAACAGCTCGTCGACAGGAACATCAAAATCACATCGCTCCCAGTTTTCCTACATGAAACGTTAGACGTGTGCATTTTATCATCTCAGTTGGTTGTTTTTACAGACATCAGAACATAGTTTAATAGTAAGCTGTTCTTCAATTCATGCATCTTATACAATTAATCAATGATGACTTTTGGGGAACTTCCGGCTTTAGACTCGGACCGGGAAGCCGTTTTCGCCATGATTATAGCGCCACCCCAGTTCAGTTTCATTATTAGCTTCAGTTTTCTCAACTTATCACTAGACATTACAAACACAAACACAATAGCATACAAGTTTGCATATTGTAGACACAAACCGCAATTATACTTAACATTACATACATTGTTACATTCAGTTCAAATAACATATACTGTAGAGTGTCATATCAATTAAATGTATTCTGTCCCCTATATCTATTCTACCCATGTTTCATACCCTACCCCATCCTATCCTTTCTTCTTTTAGACACTAATGTTATGTACTTACCTAGGTTACTGAATTCTTAAGTATTTTCAACGTTTCTAAGTTGTTGGACTCCTTCCGAAACACAAATATATCATAACCTATAAACACATTTAACCTAATCATGGATCATATTCGTTCTAAATGAGAATACATTTACCGAAACTTGACAAATACTGATAAATAATACCACATTCTCTACGCAGCTCCACAATATACATTGGTATCAATGGACCTCACCATTAAACGAACGAGCGTGAAGATCCGAGGAGCGTGGTTCGAATCTCCCCTCCCGTGGCGGTTTGTGCTTATCGAGCAGCTCGGAAACGAACCGGTTGACATGATTGTGTTCCTGGGTAAGACACTTTACCTTTATTTGTTCTAGATGGCAAGCGGGAGCCTCCCGTATGTTGTTCAGTGGGGTAGCCACCAATTACTGAAAGTAAACCCGGCCTCAAAATTACCCTGGTTGTTCAAGGGTCAATAAACCCTGCGAAATGATAAGTGTCTGAAACTGAACTCAAACTACGTCACCGATTTTGCTACATACCTTTTTGAAAGCAAAAGAATATAAACATAGTTCTATGTTTTTTTTTATTATCAATACAAGATCCCATGAATAAAAACTTTCACAGTAAGCATCCACTAAACCCTTTAATGATGATTCTGAGATAAAGTAGACGTCGTACGTTAGATAAAATCAAATTGTGAAGATTGTCAAAATATCTAGTAAAACACACCACCCTCTGAGCATATCGTGTCCTTGTTCTTCAAGAATATATTTCGACCTCAAATGGCTTGAAACCATGTTGTGTGAAGAAGCTTTTGTTTGCCCACGAAATAGATAAAAATCATGTTTCTTTGTCCGCTGGAAGTGTCTGTTTTAGACAGCTTTAATTTATTTATATTTATGAAGCGGTGTTATTTACAAGCTAACGCAGAAGTGACAGAAACACTGATGTATTTGAACACTATAGCTTAAAATGGTTTTCAAAATAAGGTCTACGCACTATTGTTTTGAAGCGATACATTTCCGGTGTCGTTGTGGGATGACAGTGACCGCGGGGTATCAGGGACCTTCCTTGGGCCCCGAGACAATCGTAATCATGGGACATGTCTGGTTTTGTCTGGAACAATAGCGTCGTTTTTTGACGCAGAAACTCAAATTCTGTGGTAACATGACAGAGACAATGAACAGGCAACGTTTTGGTTTTGACTGGAAAATAAGCCTTTTATTTTCTCTAGAGAACGCCTTACGTGCATATCATATTTAAGCGGCTAAGAGGTTGTGGAGCGACGTTTTGGAGTTTGTATCGCGCCCTGTTAGGGCGTTTGTCTCAGTGAATTGCAATATATTAACTCATTGTTGTAGTTTCTTTTTTATAGAGTTGCCAACTGTCTGTCACAAACTTGTCTCTGTCTAATAACAAACACGCAATTTCATATCAGTGTAATCTTATAATCTAATGCAAACTGTACAAGAGCAGAAAATATAATGACGCATGCGTAGAACTCATAACGTCAATGAAGCATTGAGTGAGTAAATCAGCAGCATATCTGTATATGTGATACGTATCGCCGGGTCTGATTAGTACACAACAGAGTGAGAGATGAACATCGGGGACGACCTCGACCAGACAACAGCCGGTGTCAATGCTGTTCTGATTATTGGATAACCTCCCCATCTAATCAATTTAAACCTGTCATGTCGCTTAGACCAAACAGCACAGGCACATAGCCAGAATATACACGTAAAAATCACATTTCGTATATATTTTTTATGTTTGAGATATCTAGAAGGAAATCAATGTTTTATGTGTTTAAATATCTGGAGAAGACCAGATCATTTATTGTTTATGTCTCCAATATTTCCTTTTGTTTTATTACTGCCTCCATCATGGGATATGAATATGTGTATGCTCATGTTAATGTCCATTGGACACGTGATAACCTGATCGTTAGGACCGGCATTAGGGACGGACTCTCCTTTACGGCCGAGACTCGGCTTTGCCCGGTCCTGTTCGACCCAGAACGTGCAACAATATGCTGTTTAAAGGCAGCACTGTCGGTCCAATACTACCTTTTATGTGTTTCTTAAATTAAATTCCTCTATTGCTGATCGTAACGACACACTATGTCAGAGGAGACGAGGGCAAGTTATGATTTGTTTTCTTGACTCACGCCAAAAAGGGATAAAGTGAAATGAGGAAAATTAATGTGGTAAAAATTCAATTTTTCAATTTCATCTTGAGAACATATACATGCTTTGCAAGATGAATAATACCAATTACGAATGTTGACTATGACGTCAACTCATTGTCATTAATTTTCATGAAAATGTAACTGTATTCCACACCGAAACACATTGAGTCTGTTAGTCTGTTTAATGAAGATGGGGAAATATAGTAAAAGAGAAGCTGATCTGTCAACTGCAACTTGGCACACTTATAAATGGTTTCTAAAACTAGATCTTAAGCCGAGAAAGAATCGTCCAAAGAATTGAAGCCTAATTCAGATTATGAAGACGACTTATGCAGAGAACTTTGATTTTCTCACTTTTTTGCGTTTACTAAGCCATTGAAAACGTCAGAGAGAGGGTGAAAAGTGCTCTGTTTGTCAGTAAGACGGCTAACTTGTTATGTCAGTGATAGACCAACTTGTCAATACAATGTAGACTTTAGTCGAAGACGTGTTCAAGCGTCCCAGTCACCATGTTTTATCCCTACAAATTTATATATACGAGTTGTTTGATAGGAATGGAGTCGACTTCCATCTTCGTCTGAAGTATACGTAAGGTGAACAGTTGACCTCTGCCCTCTGACATTCTTCTTAAAAGTGTGAACGGATCTCTTACAGGCCGTTCGTGGTACATCTACACCGGTGACACCTAGATCTACAGTGGCGACACCTATATGAAGAAAATGGCGATTCCTATATATATACCATGACGTCAGCTATTGTTAGATCCTATATATATATTTCTTCATCGATTGGTGCAGCACTGTGCACGTGCATAGACGCGCAAATGAAAAATAATGAGGATTGCTGTAGCTAAGGATTACCCATACTTGTAAATCTGCAATGAAGGTAAACCAATGCACACAGTATTCGGATATTGTTAGCAATAGAATTTCCCAAATGGATGCATAAACATGTCATTAACATGAGAAATCAATGGCATCATATAGTTTTTGTATGTTTATTACAATAAATAATAATAGGCACGTCTTCAAAACGACGATGCTCTCATCTTACAGGATGTGCTGATGATAAATATAGTAAATATAGTCTCGGACAAAAAAAGAGCACACGGCGGCTCACCTAACAAACACTGACATAAACACTCGATATAAAGGCAGAAAAAATTAATACGTCTGTACACCCAACAAACACTGAGAGAGAAAGTGCACAACACACCGACACGCTGACCAAGAGAGTCAAGACGACGGCAGCCTGACCTTATCAATACAGCTGCGCTATTTAGCACAACACAGGTCTTTATTTGATTCATAATTCATAAAACCGAGACAATTATTGGACGTTTGCAGAATTGGCTCATTTGCTTTGAAAATTATCAAATGAATCTGGTTTTTGATTAGTGAACATATCCACGATTCATTGATCTGGATACCGGAAATCGATGTTGTAGTGAGTGTTCATAGTGCAAGAAAACATCCAAGGGTTTGACCCTTCGATACAACTACTATACGAATGTCCGGAGTAAACTGAACCTGGCCGAATTCAAGACAGTTTCTGGTAGTCTTTATATCTACTTAACGAAGTGAGAATGGGTCTAGTCCTCTTTATCAGGTTAAAAAAACTAAAAACATGAAAACAAAACGAAACAAAATAAAAAAAAAAAAAAACCGGTACAATCTCATGCCCAGTTAAGAAATCTGCTAGATCTCATGCTCAAATAAGAAAGTTGATAGATCTTCGTATCCATACATAAAGAACGTGGCTAGATCCACTTGTTCTAGTAAGGAGGAGACTAGATCCCCTTTTCCAGGTCAGAACGTGGTTAGTTCCCCTTGTACAGGTAAGAACTTGGCTAGATCCTCTTGTCCAGGTAAGAAGGTGGCTAGTTCCCCTTGTTCAGGTAAGAACGTGGCTAGATCCCCTTGTCCAGGTAAGAACGTGACCAGATCACCTTGTCCACGTAAGATCGTGGCTAGATCCCCTTGTCCAGGTAAGAACGTGGCTAGTTCCCCTTGTCCACGTAAGATCGTGGCTAGATCCCCTTGTCCAGGTAAGAACGTGGCTAGATCCCCTTGTCCAGGTAAGAACGTGGCTAGATCCCCTTGATCAGGTAAGAACGTGGCTAGACCCCCTTGTCCAGGTAAGATCGTGGCTAGATCCTCTTGTCCAGGTAAGAACGTGGCTAGTTCCCCTTGTCCACGTAAGATCGTGGCTAGATCCCCTTGTCCAGGTAAGAACGTGGCTAGATCCCCTTGTCCAGGTAAGAACGTGGCTAGATCCGCTTGATCAGGTAAGAACGTGGCTAGATCCCCTTGTCCAGGTAAGAACTTGGCTAGATCCCCTTGTCCAGGTAAGAATGTGATAATATTGATCTTCCTGACAAGGTAACAAACCGGTCCGATCTGCTTTACTAGGTAAGAAAGCAAAAAAGAGGAAATGGTAAATCGCTAGATGGCCTCTCATTGAAGCGGCTACCCATTAAAACAGACCTCAAGTGATTATAACACTTCAAATGCTATAAATGAAGAAGTCATCGTTTGGACGTCTCAGAATATTGGCATATGATAGGAACTTAATATCTATTAAAGAGACCAATATTTTATAGTGTGTAGGTTTTATGCCTAACGCGACAAAGGCTTTTACTATCCCTCAAATAACCTTCATGGTTACAATAGAATGCACCAGCATGTAGCCATAGGTTATATTCATACAAATGAACATTGGATCGAGATTGGAAATGATTGATATATTTGAGGACGAGACAGACGTCACTTGGGTGACAGCATTAAGTAATATGCACTTGGACATGCATTCTGTCATAAACAGTGTCGATCAGGCACTCGCCCCGGCTCAAGTGGAACAGACAGCCCGACTGCTCTCCAGGATTTGTCTGCTTGTCTAGCTTGTATAAAATCATATTGTCAACAGGTAAAATATTACTTTCAAGTGTTTAATTGTGATATATTGTTAATTTGCTTTCCTTTTGCACTTTCATTTTAAATAAAAGTAATATATTTTTAATTATTTTTAACATAACTTTCCTGAAACAACAGGAAGCTGACAATGCTTTAGTTCTGTTGGTGAAGAGTTTGTAAATGTGTATTGAATTCGAGTATAGCTATTTTAGTTTTTCTTGTGGTAAATTGGAAAAGAAAAAAAAGATGCTATCTATGGTTAACATAACGCCACACTTTTCCATTTACATTCACATATAAAGTAAATAAGTTGTTTTTTAAATCGTAATTCCAATAAAATTGTCTAGCCGTTTAAGATATACATCTGTTCGTGTGTTACTTCATCTGTCACACATGACATACTTAACGAAACTGCATATAAATAAAGCACGGACAAACTGGACATATCGGGATTAGTCAGGACCGTCTTGGCTGTCTCTTCAGACACGTAACCTGCTAGATCTTTTCTATTTATTAGTTTCCATCGATAGATGGATTCTGACCTTTATATTGCATTTCCTCAAGTTTTACAGTCTAACACACCCTCATGAGTCCAAGGAAGAGTTGGGCAACTGTCTGCTCTAGGTGTAACGTCTTTGACAGAAAACATGCTTAGTTTTACAGAGCAATAAGGACAGCTATGGAACGTACGTCTAAGACATCCTGACGTCTCTTATAACAGACCGGTAACAAGGATGTTCGTCTATGTCAAAAACACAACCTAATGCCAAACTGTACAGAAGGGTAGCGACATCGATAGAACGTACATCTTTAAGACATTCTGACCGGTCCTATACGTACGAAGACAGAAGAGTATAACCGATAACTAGGATGTCTGTCCATGTCATGAAAAAAATGTTTGAGTTACATGTAATTCCAACTATACACAACAGTAATGACATCAACTGCAGGATTCTGATTTAACAGATATCTTAAATCATTATCAATGGAGAATATTTAACCTCACATTAACAGAAACTTTGAATAATGGAACCTGCGGAAATCTGACGCTCGTTAGTCGGGACTTTCAAAAATCAAGACATCAATAGTGTGCCCAAATTTAATCGTAACCTATTTCATAAATCTTCACTTCGTGCTGTATTTAACTTCCGTAAACAAGCTGTGCATTTACGTCTGACTGTTGACAAACAAATATACTAGCTTGTTCTTGTAAACAAACTTGTTGGAACGTATCTGTGATAGATAAAAAGATAGAGATTTATCGGACACGGTGTTGGTTTCAAAGACAATACAGAAACAGCTGTGGGTTTATTGACTCTGGTGCTTGTTTCTTTTAGTCGTTTGGGTTCATTGCACGTGCAGCTTTTGTCTTTAGAATATATGAGACAATGGACATAGGTTGTAGGGGAAGTCCTGGTTGTATGCGTTATGATCAAAGTGGTTATTTGTTATGTCAAGCAAATTTACTCCAAGAGTATAGTGTAAGGAACAGCTCTGTCAGAAACAGTTTGATAATAATAAAACATCTGTACAAGATATGTGACTATTGATATCCATCAACAAAAAGCTTCGATCGGGGACAATCAAACTTATATGTACTGATAACTTCCTTTTAAATAGCACCTAAAAAACAAAAAATACGTTTCTGGGCAGATATCGTCAGCGATCACTTTAAGATGCACCTGACACGGGAGCTTTCCATTCTGCCTCTGACCTTAGCAGAGAATTCGAGGTTCCGACCTGTCATTCTGACGATGGCTTTAACAGAGAATTCGAGATACCGACCGGTTCTGATCATTCTGACAATGGCTTTAACAGAGAATTCGAGATACCGACCGGTTCTGGTCATTCTGACAATGGTCTTAGCAGAGAATTCGAGATACCGACCGGTTCTGGTCATTCTGACAATGGCTTTAACAGAGAATTCGAGAACCGGTTACCGGTTCTGGTCAGAATTGGAGAATTCGAGATACCGACCGGTTCTGGTCATTCTGACAATGGTCTTAGCAGAGAATTCGAGATACCGACCGGTTCTGGTCATTCTGACAATGGTCTTAGCAGAGAATTCGAGATACCGACCGGTTCTGGTCATTCTGACAATGGCTTTAACAGAGAATTCGAGATACCGACCGGTTCTGGTCATTCTGACAATGGTCTTAGCAGAGAATTCGAGATACCGACCGGTTCTGGTCATTCTGACAATGGCTTTAACAGAGAATTCGAGATACCGACCGGTTCTGATCATTCTGACAATGGCTTTAACAGAGAATTCGAGATACCGACCGGTTCTGATCATTCTGACAATGGCTTTAACAGAGAATTCGAGATACCGACCGGTTCTGGTCATTCTGACAATGGCTTTAACAGAGAATTCGAGATACCGACCGGTTCTGGTCATTCTGACAATGGTCTTAGCAGAGAATTCGAGATACCGACCGGTTCTGGTCATTCTGACAATGGTCTTAGCAGAGAATTCGAGATACCGACCGGTTTTCTGAATTCGAGATACCGACCGGTTCTGGTCATCATTCTGACAATGGTCTTAGCAGAGAATTCGAGATACCGACCGGTTCTGGTCATTCTGACAATGGTCTTAGCAGAGAATTCGAGATACCGACCGGTTCTGGTCATTCTGACAATGGTCTTAGCAGAGAATTCGAGATACCGACCGGTTCTGGTCATTCTGACAATGGTCTTAGCAGAGAATTCGAGATACCGACCGGTTCTGGTCATTCTGACAATGGTCTTAGCAGAGAATTCGAGATACCGACCGGTTCTGGTCATTCTGACAATGGTCTTAGCAGAGAATTCGAGATACCGACCGGTTCTGGTCATTCTGACAATGGTCTTAGACCGGTTCTGGTCATTCTGACAATGGCTTTAACAGAGAATTCGAGATACCGACCGGTTCTGGTCAATTCGAGATACCGACCGGTTCTGGTCATTCTGACAATGGTCTTAGCAGAGAATTCGAGATACCGACCGGTTCTGGTCATTCTGACAATGGTCTTAGCAGAGAATTCGAGATACCGACCGGTTCTGGTCATTCTGACAATGGTCTTAGCAGAGAATTCGAGATACCGACCGGTTCTGGTCATTCTGACAATGGTCTTAGCAGAGAATTCGAGATACCGACCGGTTCTGGTCATTCTGACAATGGTCTTAGCAGAGAATTCGAGAAACAATACGCTTCTTCTTATTCTTATTCTTTTTCTTCTTCACCATTCTCTAACAATGACCTTTGAAGACATACCAAGATACTGACCGGCCATTTTGCCAATGTCCATAACGGCCACGATAAATATAGGAAGCAACAAGTATTACATGGGGCGCAATTTTTGTTGGTTTCGATATTCTTTACGAATGCACAAAACGTCTTTAACCTTACATGGCTTTAGAGAGACGCAATGATTGTTACAATTTACACAACAATTATGGTGTGAAGATTAAGACGTGAACATAGTCTGAGGCCGACCCTAAAGACATATTTTAATATGCTGGTAAATGTTACAAAATCGTTTGGATATTTCTATTCATTAGCAGGCATTACTGAATTGCATTTTGGAATTTCTTTATATCATGTAATTTGATTCTTTGTCATAAACAAAGAAATTCTAGTCCATAATTTCTAATTTACAAAACGATTTTGTAACTCTATTCTCATGTATTAGCAAAGAAACAATTGTAATATAAATGTCCACAATTTCCTATTATAAAATAATTTGTAATTCAATTCTTGTGCTTTGACGCTATGTCGTCTACTCATATTTGGCAACATTAATGCGACATACAGATTCATAATATTAAGATGTATTTGCTTCCAATACTCCCAGCAATTAAGATCTCGAATAGAATTTATTTGAAGTTAACGTGTCAGTAAACAACGTGCTCGATAGCGTTGACATTTTTGTAATTGAGGTAAATTTTGAGACAGCTCGTACCTACCTCTGGTAGAAGCTAAGGCGTTATATTTTCGTATAAACTTATTAATAACATTTCACACTTTTGTGACAGGCCGATAAAAAACTCACCATAAATACACAAGAATTCAACCCCCACTAAGAACGCTAATGTAAATGAGCATGCGCGAGATTTTACGTGGAAAACTGGCGGCGTTTAGGTCAATGATAAAATATGTGTGCTTTGCAAAAATAAAAGGAAATATGTATCGCGATTGTGACGGAATGTAATTTAGGTATGGTAAATATATGCTATGTGCGTCAATGAAGGGCACCGTTTTGACCAATCTCATATTATTAATCCTGCGACTTCAAACATTTCTTATGTTTAATCAATTTACATTGAAAACAGCTTTCAAGTAATGAGATAATGATTTAAATACCTTGTGTATAATTAGTTCATTTTTCAATTTATTTCAGTAGAATTCATGGTGACTTTTATACAATGTTTCAATGTTAATGTTCTTGATTTTGATAGGGCCGGTATATCAGCGAGTATTAATAGGCAATATTTATTATAATCTCCCTCCCCATTGGTCGTGAGATATCGCGCAGACCTGGCAAACACACTTTGGCGACCGGCCAGCGTCATATTTGTTTTCTCCCGATAATGTATATATTTAACGTGTGTATATTCTGATGTATTCTCTTCTTTGTAATATAAACCCACATACAACAAACTTTACATCCTTACATTATGAAAATCATAAAGGAGTATGCTGACAGGACACAAAATTTGTAGTTTTTAAACATGCATCTATTTTTATTCGGGAAAGATTTGCCAATTTCAAGGACTTCATATTGACAAAACAAGAGAAAGTTTATTCAGATGCCGAAAGTAGATAATCTTTTTCAACGACCGAGTTTGTTCAGCGAAACTGTCACGGGATTTATTAAAACCCATTGGGATTTATTATCACTGTACATTATATAGGGTATATGCATGAACATAACTATGTTTACAGTCGTGTGCATACTGATAATGTTATTTCAAAAGGCAGCACGAACATAACGTGTAAATCAAATAAAAAGTCTCAATTTGTCCGTCTGAGGTTTGTCACTTATCCTTGTGTGGGTTAGATAACACACACCTATCATGGATCGAGTACCGGAAGTGAACATCCTGACTCCTCTATAATCTAGTTGTATCGTTGAAGGAGTGAGTTTTACAGTCGGTTACTTTTCCTGATCAGAGATATGGATACCGGATGTAGTGCCTATCATAATATATTATAGAAATATAAATTATAATTTTCATGCTTACTCTACCTTAAAAACATCAATAATCTGTTTGTTTTAGTGTTGTTTGCATTTCATATTTTCACAAGATGGCGGAACTACAACGTTCACGAGGAGAGGAGGTAATACGACCCCCTCGGGAATTTCTGTCAAAGTCCGCTGTGACATGATTGGCCGCGACACTCAGGTAATTCGACATAATATAGAGACCATTTTGAGCTATAAGGGAGTTTCCCTTCATCCTCATACCTAACCCTTACCTTCGTTTGTTCATAACGGGTTATATCTTTGGGTAAACCACCCTAACAGCGTTACCCCACTGAAATAACACAATACAAGGTATAGGGGTTACAACAATACAACCAGCTTGTCCTGTTGTCCTACCAATAACTGGATCAAATTCATAATTATGTAACACAAATGATTCATTCTTCAAAAGTCAACTAAGATA